ATCTCATCCACTGATTGGAAGTGCATATCGGACATGGCGTGTTGCATCGACCGGAACAAGTGATAATCGGATGGAACAATATCTGGTAAATATGCCGGGTGCTGCAAGACGTCTCAGCTAAGACTCATTATGGTGTCTTTTGTACTGGAAGCAATGTGTGGCCTGGCGTTGTAATGCAACAATTTCACTGGACGTACTCTTTTGCCAATATACGGGCATTTTCGTTCCAATTCTTGACTCAAACAGATTAATTGACGTTGGTAGCAGTCCGCAGTAACTGTTTCACGCGGTTCCAACAACTCATAATAAAGCATGCCCTTGATATCCCACCAAATGCAGAGAAGAACCTTCTTTCCGAGGCGATTGGGTTTTGCGACCGATTTTGATGATTCGCCGGGATTTACCCATGACTTTCTGCGTTTCGGATTGTCATAGAGTATCCATTTCTCATTGCCCGTAACGATTTTCCACAAGAAAGACTTTCGACGCTGCTTATTGAGAAGAGAAAGACACGCTGCCACTCGTTGATTTTTGTTGGTTTCAGTGAGTTCATGCGGAACCCATTTTCCTTCTTTCTGAATCTTTCCCATCTCATGTAAGCGTTTGGAAATCGTTTGCTGCGTTACTCCTAACTTTTCTGCAAGCTCTTTTTGTGTTTGTGCCGAATTCTCAGCGAGCATTTGTTGCAAATCATCATTATCGCATTTCGGAAGGCCTCCGAGGCGTTGTTTGTCGATTAGATTGAAATTACCGCTTTTAAACCGCTTAAACCAAAATGCGCACACACCGTACAATACAACATCTTCGCCGAGAAATGAACAAATCGATTCGCATGCTCTTGCAGCATTTTTCTTTGTTGGAATTCGTAAAGAATGCAGTGTCGGATATGCACCTTATCTGTTGTCATTTTCGACTGTACTGAACTGAATAATTTTGAAGGTTATGTTAGGCCTTTCGCCAAACTACGAGGGTGGTCCGATAAGTACTTAGCCTACAAAAGAAAAACGAAAATTTTGGAAAAGTGGCGATTTATTTCTCAACATAGTCTCCTTTTAGCTCGATACACTTGACCCAGCGATGCTCCAACTTCTTTAACCCGTCTGAAAAATACGTTTTCTCGAGGTCTGCAAAATAGGCCTCCGTGGCGGCGATGACCTCCTCATTCGACTCAAATTTCTGCCCGGCGAGTGATTTTTTCAAGTTTGGAAACAAAAAGAAGTCGCACGGGGCCAACTCTGGAGAATACGGTGGATGGGGCAGCAGTTCGTAGCCCAATTCGACCAATTTGACCGTGGCGAGGGCGGAGGTGTGAGCCGGTGCGTTGTCATGGTGGAAGAGCACTTTTTCCTTCGCCAAATGGGACCGTTTTTTCTGCAATTCGGCGTCGAATCGGCCAAATAATTCGGCATAGTACAGCCCTGTGATCGTTTTGCCCTTCTCCAGGTAGTCGATATAAATCACACCTTGTGAATCCCAGAAAACGGTGGCCATCACCTTTCCGGCCGATAGGACAGTCTTCGCCTTCTTCGGAGCACGTTCGCCGGGTGAAGTCCACTGTTTCGACTGTTCCTTGGTCTCTGGTGTGTACCAGTGGATCCATGTTTCGTCGACGGTCACGAAACGACGCAGAAACTCCTTCGGATTGCGCTTAAACAGCGTCAAACACTGCTCTGAAGTGGTCTCACGGTTGCGCTTGTTGTCCGGAGTGAGCAAACGCGGCACCCATCGCGCCGATAGCTTTCTCATGCCCAAAATTTCATGCAGGATATGACCCACGCGGTCTTTTGAGATGCCTACTGTCTCAGCTATCTCGCGCACCTCCAATCGGCGATTTGCCAATACGAGATCGTGGATTTTTGTCATGTTATCCTCCGTGGTAGCCGTTTTCGGGGCACCTAGGCGTGGCTCATCAAAAACCGACGTGCGACCACGTTGAAACTCGTTAAACCAATTTTTGACGGTCGCCATCGAAGGAAAAGAGTCACCGTACACAGGATCCAAGCGCTCTTTGATTTCGCTGCGCGATTTCCCTTCCAAAAACAAGAATCGAATCACCGACCGATATTGCTCTTTTTCCATTTTTCTAAAATCCGCGGACACGCCCGCTTCCACACGCGGTCAAAACAAAACTACGAGTCCGATTCGGCTGAAATTTCGACAGTAGCCGTCTACGAGAATGTACTACACGATAGTAAATTTCTCTTGCGATAGTGGCGCCATCGGGCGGTGAAGCTAAGTACTTATCGGACCGCCCTCGTATATGTTCTTTTTAATAGCTATATGCCAACATTGCATAATCACAAAAGACCGGGAAAATCTATTCAATTTAAAATTGATTTCATAACTGCTTAAAGTAATTTGGATTATTCATTTGTACACCTAATAGTACGCAAAAAGAACAACAGCTGGCGATTATGTTGAAATTACAGAAAATTCAATGCAATTACTGTGCCAGACCAATATGCTCCACTTCATATCCACTGTTTATTTCCTTTGCTCCAGGTGAAGACAATATTTTCCATCATTGATCTAAAAGACAGCCATCACGACTCTCTGGAGCCTATATGCATACGTAGTGATGCCATTTGGCTTGAAGAACGCTACAGAAACTTTCCAAAGATACGTCGATGCAGTTTTTCGAAGTCTGGACTTCATTTTTGTACATATAGATGACATAATAATCATGTCGGAAACACCACGACAACATCGCGAATATCTCAAGCAAGTTTTTCAACGTCTGGCGACTCACTCTCTTTCGATTAACACCACCAAATGCATCCTGGGTACGACCGAAGTGGAATTTTTAGGCTATACTATTAACGAAAAAGACTACATACCAAATTCTCAATGAATTGACAAAATTCTGAGCTACCCTAGGCTGAAGACAGTGGTAGAACTAAAACGGTTCTTGAGTATGTACAGAGTGTTGCGTCAACATACAGTACGACGGGTTGCCTGGCCATTAGGCGCGCGTGGCCGGTAATACAGGGCTTGCCGATATAATTATATGCCTACTATTACGCTATCGCTGATTACAAATCCGGAATCAAAATTTTGAAATTCAAAATGGTGAATTCCATATGGCGACTTCAAATGGCTAACTTTGATATGATATTATGAATATGTATCAAACTCAGTATATATATGTTTTTTCGATCACATATGACAGAGTTGAAATACAGAGTTGAAGTTAAAAAATTCAAAATGGCGGATCTAATATGGTAGAAAAATTTTCTCAAAATTTTGCAATCTTTGTGAAAAAAAGTATATAGAGTTTCTTAGGTCAGTAAATTCGAATCTTCAAACTATTGAATCCAAATTGTATGTAAAAACGTATTCAACTTTATGAAAAACGAATATTTTGGGGATTATTTGGTTCCGTGTACATAGCGAGACTATGTCTCCGGGCTTGGCTGAGAGCGATTCTAGATTTAAAATTTTAGCAGTTTCGTTTCTTAAAAATATTTCATTCCAGCAATAGGCAGCTTATTAGAATAAGTTATAAAATTTCCTTATTTCCTTATTGTGTCGATTATTTTAGAAATCTGATCGCAGAAAAGTAAAAAGCGTTGAAAATACAAATGCATCTACTATTTCCAAATTGTATTCTAAATTTCAAAATTATGATATCAAATCTTTAGTTAGTGATTCAAACAACCCCAGAAATCCATTTTCATCGGAATTGAAAATGTTTGAAAATTTTTATCCGCTATATTGAATCTGCCATTTTGAATTTCGGAAATCTAATAACAAATTCGTTATCAGCAACCCGAAAAAACCCCATGTACCTATTTCTGTAGAAATCAAAGGATTTTGAACATTTCTGTCCACCATATTGAATCCGCCATTTTGAATTTCGGAAATCTGATAATAAATTCATGGTCAGCGATCCAATAAACCTCCATGTATCTATTTCTGTCGAAATCAAAGGATTTTGAATATTTTTGTCCACCATATTGGATCTGGCATTTTGAATTTCGAAATTTTGACCCCGGATTTGTAATCGGCGAAAACAGGGTACCCCAAGGTATCAATTGTCATCCATATAGCTATAATTGTTCTCTCTGACACGAATTTTCTGTACAAAAAACACTATTTTTTTGCATTTAACTATTTATATAAACAATTTCATAAACAATTTATGAGAATTACACATTACAACATATTGAATAACATAATACTCGAATGAAAACCCCAAAAACAGCAAGAAAATCGAATATTTTATACCTGAAAAACGTAATAAAATGAAACAAAAAAGATGGCACTCCAGAGTGCCGCTGTGCTTCAAAGGGTTAAACGGAAACCCCAAATTTTTATTATATTATCCTTTTCTATCGGTTCTATCGATATTGGATAACTTTTTTCTGAAACATTTCTTTATTTTTCTAATATTTTTTTAGGTATTAAAAAAAACTTGGTGATTTTTTCAATATTTAACTTATGATATTTCACTAATTATTTGTCGGAAGAAAAAGTGGTATTAGACTTTTTTGCTCTATTTGGTCTCAAGAATGTATGGTTACAATAACGTCCTGACTTTTGTTAGTTTGATGATTTAAAAATTTTCAAAGGTCGATAAGTTAACAAAAGTTAGGGCACAATTGTAATAATATATTCTTGAGAATAAAGTAGAAAGATTTAACACTTTTTTCTTTCAACGAATAAAAATAGCAAGTAGCCAGTGACATTAAATGACGTTTCAATAACGTTTTTAACGTCCATAAGACATAATAAAAACGTAATTTGACATCATTTTGCTACTCGAGATGAAATATATTGCAATACAATATTACAGTAATCTATTAATGTTACATATAAACGTATATATCAATATTATTATTGTACTATTTCAACATTATAAACATAATATATCAGTAATATTCCTGTAATATTGTACTGTAATATGTAATATTACTAATATATTGCAATCTAACTATGATATTTCTGTAATATTACGTGCTATGTAGGATGTATTAACGGAAATTGTATCGGATACTCACCTTACGATCGCAAACAGGCAGCAACTGTAAACGACCAATGTAACATATATTAGATCTGCGCTAATAATGTTAAATATAGTCACCCCAGATGTCATACAATTGTGCAGCCACAACCATACCCAATTGGACTGTAGGTCGATGCCATAATCGAGATCGAAAGCTAAGTTCCTCTCGCGCGTCTCGTTACGAGGTAGGATAATGTCCATCACTGGTGAAAGCATCGGCATCGTGATAAAGCACACAAGTAAATTACACAACATAGCTGAAAAAACAAAAGCAACATCATATATATTCGCCATATTTAAGGATATTCACCATACTTGAATACACAATGCATAAAGTCCTCGTCTTCGATGTGTAATTCACCAAGATTTTATATTCTTCTTCCTTTGCGAGTGCTTCCCAATCAGTTTCAATCTGATGCAGTAGCATTTTTATCTATCATTTGGAAAAAAATATATGACCTTAATCGGAATATATATGTAATGATAATGCGTCCAACTCGGAAATACAGAATAATCACGCTTGAAAATGTGAGAATACAACCAATACCTCTGTATTGAATCGGATGATAGTCACATTTTTAGCTATGCATACTAAAATGGTAAAGATCGGTGGTATACATATACACATCGCGTCTATGTCTTTTCCCCACACCTTGTACAATCTCCTCAGCTATAGAAAAAATACGAATAAAAACATGAGTGCTTCAATATTTTCCCCTGTCTCAAAAGCAGTGGCTTTCTATGTACTGGAATTATCCTGCATCACTTCATCATTAAAAATGAAATAATTAAAAAAACGATTTACTGTATATCATAATGCAATATTGTACAAAATTTGCGAGTCACTTTATAAATGTTCGAAATATTCAAAAGTATTCAAAATATATTCAAAAATAAATCATTTCAAATGTCCAATGCACTTAAAATGTCTTTACATTCAAGTTCAACTTTGTGTGAAAACATTTGTATGCTGCTAACATAAAAGTACGTACAATATATTTTTACCTGAGCTGGAAAATAGGAGAGCAGTATAATTATATTGAACGATTGGATGATTTTTTTTTTAAACTGCGCCTGATATGGCCATAAACCAACTGCCGAGCAAAATAGTTTCAGTACACGATAATAGCGCGTATCAAATAACGTACCCATGTTAACTTGAAAACGTATCGGACATTTCAGAGCAGACCATCGGGAAATGATACGTCAATAAAGAGGGGTGTCTTTCTTACGGAAGTCGATAACCATGCACGGTCTCATCCGAATAAAAGCTGTACTTAACAAAATTATTCTGTCCAAGATATAAATGTTGCAAGATGCAATAAGCGACATGAAGAAACTAGCGGCGAAAAGAAATATCGAACGGAAAAAAGTATCACGAGACGGACAGGATAATAATAAGGATATAACAAATATATAGATTGAAGACATTGCATGATTTTTGAAACTGTGCAGTGCTATGCACGACACACAAAAGAAAGTAAACGTATCTATTGCAGCATAGCGAATAAAACCACAATGTATACATATATATATTTGTTACAAAATGTTGACACTAAATCTATATTTTACTAATATTAGATTGATTAGAAAGTAATGTCGGAATTTTCGATAAGAAACATAAATAATTTTTTTTTAATATAAAAAACTTTCTTAAATCTTGTACTGACTATTTTGATTTATGATGTTTTATCATCTTATAGGCAGCTTCATAATACCATTTTCCAAAAATTTACTAACACTTTTAACAAAAAATCTTAAAAGATAAATTTCACAGGCCTTTAGAAAATTAAAATTATTTCTATTTAGTGAATTTTGCAAAGAACGAAATATATGGAAATTTGATGGCTTACAAGGAAGCTGCATAAGTGTAAATCATCGATTTGAATGAATCTTTATAGGTAAGTCAAAAACCAAAAAATATTTCATCCGTTTTTTGCCATTTGCTCTGGAATAATAATTTTGAATTTATTCAATAATCAAGTTTAGGCAGTTAGACATAGCGAGTGAAGTCGAGTGTACAAAGCGTTTGTCAAAAGCCATGAAGGAGAGAGGGAAGATAACCTAGTCGCCTGCTTCGTAAGTCAGAGGTCCGCGTTCGATTTTAGCTGCTGTAATATATAGTTATTTTCTTCTTTATATTATTTAAGTCACTAAATTTAATATTAAACTACTTAAATAACTTAAATTTAATCTATTGGGTTGCTCAAAAAATCATTGCGTTTTTTCTGGTGATTTTCGAGACCATTTATTTTATATAAAGAATGAACATTAATCAGTGATATATTGCCCTTTTGTTTGATAACTTTCTACCATCTTCATATTTCATGATCCCATTCTCGAAAATGGCACTTCCTATTTGTATTAGTGAAGAACTGAACCAAATGCCTTTAGGTAGCGTCATCTGAAGCGAACGTTTATTTATTCAAGAAGTTTTGCAAGGAACGAAAAAAATGGTAGTCTGATAGTGCAAGGTATGGCGAATACAGTAGATGAGGTAACATCTCAACCCAGCTCCAACAATTTTTCGCGAGTCATCAAACTTGTGTGCGGTCGAACGTTGTCATGATGGAAATCCACTCCTTTGGATTTATCAATTCTGACCGCTTTTCTGTTATGCTTCGTTTAATTTGTCGAGTTCTTTACAATATACGTCCGAATTGATCGTAACATTCCTTGGTAAAAGCTTGAAAAATATCATACCATTTCAATCCCATTAGATTGATAACCACCTTTCTCTGGTGAATATCTACTTTTGATATGCCTTGAGCCGGCACTTGCTCCACGATCGCTTTCGCTTCACATTGTTGTAGACAATCCATTTTTCATCGCTAGTAATCATGCGTTTCAGAAATGAGTCGAATTGTTCACGTTTCAGAAGTTGACCGCAGATATCTATGCGTTTTATGAGGTGAACTTCTTTCAGTTCATGCGGGACCCAAACATCGAACTTACTGACGTGACCAAGTTGTTTCAAATTCAGATAAATGTTTCCAATCGATATGTTCAGTGCCTTAGCAAGCTTACAAATGATAGAACATCGATTAGCTTTAACTAATGCCTTTATTTTATCATCATCAACTTCCGATGGTCGACCTAAACGAGATGCATCTTTCATGCTATAGCCACTAGAATGAAAACAAGCAAACCAATATTGATACTGGCGTTCTTTTAGGACTTCTTCACCATAAATTTTACGCAACTTTTCACAATCCTGCACAGCGTTCTTTCTTTTTCGGAAGTAATAAAGTAAAACTTGGCGAAAATGCTCCTGTTGATTCTCCATTTCCAAAACGTTATAGAAAGAATAATTGTTAGTGGATTCACACATTTTTTTCCTTGATGGAAGCTATAAATGACAGCTGCCAAACATATGGGCTCATCAATTTACAAATGCGTTTAATACATTAAATATATAACTAAAGCCATTTATTGGAAAAAACATAATGACTTTTGAACAATCCATAAATATATAAGGTGTACGAAAAATATTGAAACCCCTTAATATCTCAGAAAATACGCATTTTAGAAAAAAATATTTCATACACAGTTAGTAGGGTTTCATAAGGCGCATTATATGGTAATATTATTATGACCTTGAATAGCGTTGTCAAGGTCAACTGAAGGTCATCTTAAATTTCTTAAATAGAACCCCTATTTTTCATCACATATTCTTGTAGCTTATCTCGAGGGCTTTCAAAACATTATAATTAAATGTTTTTTCGCTAGGTATTTTTCGAGTTACAAGACTTAAAAGTTACAGTATCGCCGACATTAGCATTACCCAAAGAGCTATGTGAAGTTAGCACCCGACTTTACCAAAAATATTTTTACATATATGCATTCGATTAAGCTCCGCTTGTACCCGTTTGTACCATATTTGTTGTGTTTGTACCTCAAAAGGGTGAGAATTATAAGGGTTTGAAAAATCATCAGCACCTTACTTTGAGATACAGTAATCTCTCAGATGTCATTCGATTCAGCATCGTTTGTACAGGTTTGTGCCGCTTTCCGTTTCGTTTGTAACCCTACGGGGGTGGAAATATCGAATTTTGAAAATTCGTGTAAGGGGTAACTTTGCTATTTTTAAAGATATTCGCAATCTGAAAGCGGGTGCTGTTCCGTATTCATTTGTACCCGTTTGTACCGCTTTCCGTTTTGTTTGTATCCCTACGGGGGTGGAAGTATGGAATTTTGAAAATTCGTGTAAGAAGTAACTTTGCCATTTTTAAAGATATTCGCAATCTGAAAGCGGGTGTTGTTTAGTATTCGTTTGTATCCGTTTGTACCGCTTTCCGTTTCGTTTGTACCCCTACGGAGGTGGAAATATGGAATTTTGAAAATTTGTGTAAGGAGTAACTTTGCCATTTTTAAAGATATTCGCAATCTGAAAGCGGGTTCTGTTTCGTATTCGTTTGTACTCGTTTGTACCGCTTTCCGTTTCATTTGTACCCCTACGGGGGTGGAAATATGGAACTTTGAAAATTCGTATAAGGTGTAACTGCCATTTTTAAAGATATTCGCAATCTGAAAGCGAGTGCAGCTTCGTGTTCGTTTGTACCCGTTTGTACTGCTTTTCGTTTCGTTTCTACCCCCTACGTGGTGGATATATGGAATTTTGTAAAATTCGTGTAAGGATAAAATAAGGATTATAGATAAACATAATTTTTTTGCGGTTCTTATGTGTTTTATTTTTTTATTTTTTGGTGTTTTCTTTATATTTTTTGTTTTTTTTGTATTTTTTATATTTTTAGTCTTTTTTGTGTTTTGTAATATTTTTTGTCATTTTTTTTAGTTTTTTATATTTTCTAGCTCTAACATCTTTTTATTGTTTCTTACTTTTAAATAATTTCTTTATAATATAATATTTTTACGGTTTTATATATATTTATATAGATAATTTTCTTTTTTGCAACATTATTCTTTGTGATGCAAGTAACGGCTTTTTGTCTCTGCACAGGTCATTGTGTATTTCTCATCGCCCTATTAACCTGCGCATATACGCAATGTAATGTCCTACGTTATGCGTATTTAGTGTGCCTTGATACTCTATAACGGAAAGCAACTTATACGTGCAGCCATGAAATTGGAGATCGACTGGTATCTGATTCGAGGTAAATGTTCCTTCCCAATTTTTTGGTTTCGAACTTTTTGCCAGAGGTGGCCATTGTAGACACTCTATGTCTATAAAAAGCAATTGACCGCAAATAACCGAACATTCTATATTTTCGTCGTCACATCGAACGCATTTCTTGTCTTTATAAGTATATTTTTCATTTATAGAATGTGGTAAGGCACGCATATGCTGTTCATAAAAGGGCTTGATATTGATCTAAAACATTATAATTGTATTTCCGTGCATATTGGCAATTACGACAATTTATATTTATGCTGAATGAAAATTCGTCTTTTAATAAATGTTCTGCGACTAAATCAGTAATGTTATAGCTACAATCTATTGTTTTATGTACGGGAATAATAAATTTACTCAATATTAACGCCCTTTCTTTATATATTTTTATGGATGGCCCATATATTGATAATTCTTTAATAAATTGGAACATGTTAATTCGACTTTGTTGTACATAATGATGGAAGTTTGCCCAATCATAATATCCCACTAGTAGCGTCTGAGCAATTGCATCAAAAGGGCATGTATTAACAAGAATAGGATTTTTTCCAAAAAGTACAGGTCCTAAAGTGCTACCATTCTTTAATAAGGGCACTGTTGTCGTAAATTTTGGTTTTGAATGGACATTTTCCACATCCGGACATGCAATTAAATATTTCCCGTGATTCTTTGGATTCTCACTATTTTTGCCTTTCCAATTTTCAACGTTATTATGATATGTAAAACCTACAGAATTAGCGCTGATATCTTCGACATTATTGTCCGTATCGGTATCGATATCGTTCCTATCCGTGTCGGTATCGTTCCTATCAATAGACGCGGTAGAAATATCAACTTTGTTTATATTTGTAATATTTTCCATATCTCTCATATCATCTGTGGGAGTGTTTGTCGAATTATCATTCGTCGTATTTGGCGTGATAGAGCAAGACCGAACATTAGATTTATTAAAATCGACATCATCATCGGAATCGTTCGAATTAGTAGATGTGCCCTGCAAATTACTACTAGCATGTAAAATTTTTAACACGCCCGCTAGTGATCT